CAATGGATCACCCCGCATTGCGGGAAAAAGGTTCCGGAGTCCTGAAGATCATGCGGTCCCAAAGTTTGCTCAGCAACAAAGACCTTTCCCCTCCCGCCCAGACAACGGCAGCACAGAGCAGAGCGACTACGAACGACGTCCTCGAAGCAGTGACGCAAAGGCAGACCAGGTGACAAGCTCGCCTGACTCCCAAGCACGTTCCTATCAAGGTCCCGAACCAGGCGAAATTGTAACGACGAAATCGGAACGCGATCACAGATCCCCCAGAGCCTCCATGGAAAGGAACTTGAGATACGGTGATGACTATAGAGATGCTGCTCCATTTGTGTCAAACGCTCAGAGGCTGGGCGATGCGAAGCCTGCAATGAAGCACCGTGAGCCAGCGGTACCCTCTCATGCCCCGGAGGTTGGGCTAGCGTCGACAAAGGGGCCAACACCACCTCCGCCCACGCCCCCCCGCAAGGAAACTAAGCTCCGCATCCCAGTTGTGCACTTTGCACTGCCGCCACGGGAGGCGCAGGCAACATCGTCAGACGAACCGTCAGAGTCGGATGACGATGAAGATTTTGGAGAGTACTTTGCAACGGAAATTGCCAAAGAAGAGGCTGAATTACGACGCCTAGAAGGACTTGCAGACGATGTACCAGACCACATTGTTGCTCGCTATGCCAGAGCCTCCCACGAAGCGATGATGAAGCTTGTGGCTGAGCCAGAAGGTCTCGTTGAGATGCTAGGTCAGCCTCCACAAGAGGCTTTGACTCCGCCCAAAGAGGAGAAAGCCCAGGCCGCTGCCACGACAGAAGAGACGGACCCACGACCGGTCCTTCACAGCGTTTTGCCTCGCAGAGCATCCCTTGTTGATGATGCCATGTCGGGAAAACGCGTCGAGACAGCAGCATCGTCTGAGACTGCAGTGGAGCCACAGCCCAAGACGGAGGAAATGGACATTGATGAAGCAGGGCCTACCGTCTTGGCGCCACCAAAAGTCTTGGAACCGTCTTCGGAACCAGATGCTACATTGAAGGATGCTGTTCAAGAAATCGTAGAAACGACGGAAGCCAGCTCCGAACCACCCCAGAAGCAGCCCGGGCAGCCCAAGGCGGTTCCTCTTCCCAACGTGCCCATCGAAACGATCGAACGAGAGAAGGGCGTGCCAAGCACGCCTTCTCAAGTAGATGATGAGGACGATGACAATTCCACCGAGTCGGACGAGCTGGATCCGATGGATCTCGACGCTCAACGCCGCCTCGAGACCCCACCCATTGAAAGTCTTCCCAACTTCGAATGTCTGGCTTGGAACCGAGACAAGGACTTCCTCCAGTCTTTGCAGTCCGATTCAACAGTCGACGCCTTCATTGCCGAGGAGCTTGACAAGGTATCGCTACTGAAGCTATCAGAACAAGATGCTGCACGGAAAGCGTATGGTGAAAGGTATATGGACTACCTCAACTACACGTTGTCTGACGACCTGGTTGCCACGAAGAGCAGAGAAAAATTCGTCAGCAATATCCCGCCGCCAGAGACGACCAGCAACGTCCCTATCGTGCCAGAACCAACGAAGCCTGAAGGTCGGGCATCCGGAAGGCGTTTCGCTACGGAGCTCGACGTTGAAAGGGCAATCCAGGAATCAGTCAAGGCAGAGGAAGAGCGCAAGGAACGCGAGGCCATTGCCCAAAAACAACGTTTCCGTAACGAGAAGGAGGCGATACCTCCTGATATGTACTGGACGGACGAGGACCGGAACAATGAGGACTTTGTGGACAGCTCTGGCCTCATGACGATTGACCAGCTCGTGCCGACTTGGAACATTCTTCCCCCCATCAACAACTTCACCGCAGAGGAGAACGAGCAATTCGAACGGGGCTACCTCGATAAGCCTAAGCAGTGGGGCGTTATTGCGGATGGCGTCGAGGGGCGTGACTTCAAGACCTGTATCCTGTACTACTACTTGATGAAGAAGCACCTGAACCTGAAGGAGAGATACAAGAAGCAACCGAAGAAGAGGAAGAAGGCTGGAGGCAGAGCCAAGACTCGTTCGAGCGCCCTTGTCTCAGAATTCGGCAACAAAGATGCTGAGACCGAAGACAATCAAGAAGGCGGCGAGAACGGTGAGCGTGCAAGACGACCCAGGCGTGCAGCTGCCCCGACCTTCGACTTTGAGCGACCGCCGACCGACTCTGATAACGCAACACCTGCCGGCACCCCTGGGCGTCGGTCAGGGAAGAATAGTGATGGGACGGAGAAGGTCGATGGCAGGAAAAATAGGCGTCGTGCCAAAGACAAGGAACCCAAGGCACCCAAGGCGGCCCAGGCCCTCGCCGCAGCTCCTGCTGCTGCTGCTGCTGCTACTGCTGCTGCTGGACCAAACCGAGGAAGATCGCGGTCGGACTCGCGCGCACAGAATCCCGAAATCCAGCAGCCTGTCCCGAACCCTCCAGAGTCCCGACTGCCCGCCCAGCTCGAAGCCCCATCGACTGGGATGCAGGCACCATTCATGCCCGTACCTTTGCAACCGCAGCAGCCACCCGTTCCCCATGAAAGGCCTGCCCCGACTGTTCCATCCACTATATCCGAGGTCATGGCACCGCCATCCCTTCGACCTGAGCCTCCCCCACCTCCTCAGCCAACGATGCCGACTTTTGATCTTGGGCAGCCCCAGCCTCAGCAGCCACCCCAGTCCCAATCCCTCCCAACGTCCCAGCCACAGCCAGCAACCGAGCGTCGTACCCACGTGCAACCTTCGAGCTACTGGAGTGTGTCCGAGGGAGAGGTGTTCCCTGGCCTATTGAAAGCCTTTGGCTCAGACTGGCACGCCATGGCGGCACACATGGGTTCGAAAACGGCCGTCATGGTCAAGAACTATTACGTCCGGCAGCGAGACTCTGGTAAAGTGGAATGGGAGCGATTCCTTCAAGAGGCCGACAAGAAGAAGAATCGAGGCGAAAAGCGGCCCGAGCCTCCCCCACCTCCAACACAGACGGGGCGAAAGAAGTACGATCCGGCATCAGCGACCCAGAACAGGCCCCTCGCATCATCTGCAAACCGGGAACAGGGTCTAGAGATTGCCCAAGGAAAGCTTGTCGAGAACCCACCTGTTCAGCCGCCTCAGTCACAGCCGTACGGCCGGTTTGCCGTGCCCATCGCGCAGGCGCCACCTGCAGCGCCACAACCTTTTTGCACAGGGTGTCCAGCAGCCTCCGCTGCAGATACAGCAGCACAATGTGGCCCCATCAGGCGTCAGCCAGTCCATGTCGCCCAACAACCGACCGCTGAGAGCACCAATGCAACAAGTCTTTGGATACCCAGACCGAGAGCAGGAGCTCCTGCAAGCCCAGGGCCCAAGTCAGCTACAGCAACCGCTTCGTGGCCCACAGAAGCCCACAGCTGGGCCACCTGCACCTGAACACGTGCAGCCCCGGCCTCTCGCGGCAGCGCAGCCCATCCAGCCGACACCGCCTGCTCAAGCCGAGCCTCCAATGGACAGACAACAAAAGACAGAGATTCAGCAGCCAAAGAAGCCCCCTCGCGGCCCAGAGCGTGTCGCTTTCCAGACTGGAC